CATATGTAATGACTTTATTAGACACTTGTAATAACTTTATTAGACATATGTAATGACTTTATTAGACACTTGTAATAACTTTATTAGACATGTAATAACTTTATTAGACACATGTAATAACTTTATTAGATACTTGTAATAACTTTATTAGACATGTAATAACTTTATTAGACACATGTAATAACTTTATTGAACATGTGTAATAACTTTATTAGACACATGTAATAACTTTATTAGATACTTGTAATAACTTTATTAGACATGTAATAACTTTATTAGACACATGTAATAACTTTATTAGACACATGTGATAACTTTATTAGACATGTAATAACTTTATTATACATATGTAATGACTTTATTAGACACTTGTAATAACTTTATTAGACACATGTAATAACTTTATTAGACATGTAATAACTTTATTAGACACTTGTAATAACTTTATTAGACATATGTCATAACTTTATTAGACATGTAATAACTTTATTAGACATATGTAATAACTTTATTAGACACTTGTAATAACTTTATTAGACACTCGTAATAATTTTGTTAGACACTTGTAGTAACTTTATTAGACACTTGTAATAACTTTATTAGACATATGTAATAACTTTATTAGACATATGTAATAACTTTATTAGACATATGTAATAACTTTATTAGACACTTGTAATAACTTTATTAGACACTCGTAATAATTTTATTAGACACTTGTAGTAACTTTATCATACATTTTGTTGGAAAGGTTCAGTCGATTAGGTCAGTGATTCCACACTCCACAGCTGACCCCTCTGTCTTTATACCATGCACAGCAGTCTTCAGTCAGTTTGAACTTATTTCCCTCTCATTTCTAAATGATGCTGTCGATCATATGAAACCCTCAGGTTCCCCTGCTGACCCCATCCCTGCATGGTTTTTTAAAGAAGTTTTACCCTTGACCGGACCCTCTGTTCTTGCTATTACAAACAGCAGTATTGCTACAAGTGTATCCCCTGATGTTTTAAACATGCAGTACTAAATCCATTAATTAAAAAAATCCTGGACTTGACCCTTCAACTTGTTCAAATTTCAGACCATTATCAAAACTTCCCTTTCTTTCTAAAATCTTGGAGAAAATAGTTTTTATTCAATTAAACGAGTTTGTGAAGGAAAATTGAAATTTTGAGATTTTTCAGTCTGGTTTTAAACAATTACACAGCCTTGGCAAGGGTTTGTAACAACATTCTTTTAGCAGATTATTCTGGTCAGTTTGCGATACTAGTACTCCTGAACCTTACCGCTGCTTTTTGATACTGTTGACCACAGTATACTTTTATCAAGGTTAGAACACTGAGTTGGAATTACAAGTGCACCATTAGAACAGTTCCTTTCGTACCTGAGTGACAGGAGTTTCTGTGTTAAGATTGGAAATCGTGTATCCGCATCAGTGCCTCTTTCCTTTGCGGTCCCACAGGGCTCGATTCTTGGACCCCTTTTGTTTTCATTGTATCTGCTCCCCTTGGGGTCTATCCTGAGGAAACATGCTCTTTCATTTCATTGCTATGCTGATGATTGTTGTATTGTTCTACCCTTAAAACTAAATAGTTCTTGCACAATTGACCCTCTGTTAAAATGTCTTGATGACATTAAGGCACGGATAGCTTCCAACTTTTTAAGTTTCAACCATCAGAAAACTGTAGTTGTGTTTAGCCCTAACTCTACTGCTGTCTCTGTTCCTGTAAACCTTGACTCTCTTGAGCCTTATCTTAAGCAGTCCGTTTCAAATGTCGAGATGGTTTTAGACTCTGACTTTAAGTTTAATAAACAAATCAACTCTGTTCTACAAAAAATGCTTCTTTCAGATAAGGCAGATAGCTAAGCTTAAGTCCGTGTTGACTTGATTTGACATTGAAAAAATAGTCCATGCATTTGTTACAACCTGGCTAGACTATAACGTGCTTTATGATGGGGTCTGTCAGGCGTCCCTTTCACGTCTCCAGCTCATTCCAAACGCTGCAGCTCCACTATTAACTCGTACTCATAGTTTTGAGCAAATTTTACCAGTTTTGTTTCTTCACTGGCTTTCTGTGCGTATCAAAAATGATATATATTTTTTAAATTCTCCTGTTAACCTTTAAGTGCATAAATGGCTTTGCACCCTCATACCTATCAGACCTACTTCAACCTTATGTTCATTCTCAGGTGCTGAGATCATCTGACCAGTTGCTTTTGGTTGTACCAAAAACCAGACTGAAGCTCAGAGGAAACTGGGCTTTTTCAGTCATCGACCCTAAACTGTGGAACAATCTGCCCCTCAACATTAGACAGGCCGCTTCACTCCTGCTTTTAAATCTCTCCTAAAAATGCACCTGTATTCACTGGCGTTTAACACATGTCATTTATCATGTCATTGTTTCTTTTTTTTGTGTGTGTTTTTATATTTTTATGCTTTTAATTACAGCTTATTATTTTCTTTAATTTACTGCACTGATCTTATTGTTAAGCACTTTGGTAACAGCTGCTGTTTTAAATGTGCTTTATAAATAAATTTGACTTGACTTGATTTGCCTGATCACCTTGGTCTGCTCTGCCTACCTGGAGTCATCTGGTCTCCCCCCCCCCCCATCCCCCCCTCAAACCCGCATCCAATAGAAATCACATCTGTTGAATTCCTCCCTCCAACAACCAGTAAAGATCAACAAGAACATTACTCACCACCTCTCCTACAGCTTCTTCCTGTGTTCCAGCTTGCACATCAATCACTTTTGTAAATAAACACTTTACTAATTGACTCTCGTGTCTCTGAATTCTGCGTATTCAAACAATAACATGAAAATGTGATAGAGGTGCTCTAAAATGTCGACTGTGGACTTCAGAAAAGCCAGTGGACCAACACCAGCAGATATGGCACCCCAAATCTTCACTGTCTGTGACAGGCTTGAAATGTTTCACTTTGTATAATGAATTTATATATTATACGAGTTTCACTTTCTGAAGTGGTGGTTTTTACTTTTTCACGATATTCTAATTATTTGAGATGCACCGGTTCCATTTAATTTTGCAGGATATATTTCATCAGCCTGTTTTTGTTTTGTATTGTACCGGTACAAAAAGTTTTGTTAAAAGAGAGGAAGTACAGGTGCAACAGGGTCATGTGTTCATGCAAGTCCACTTCTCAGAAACATTTACAGGAGTCGGTGAAGGTGAAACCTTATGTATTTTGGTGACATTTTGAAGCAACAGTTTATTAAATTTAGCTTCAGCACGTAACTTTTCAGGTGACAGGAGGATCTAAACTAAATGATCATGATGCAGATGTTTATAGCCTGTGTGCAGTCATGCTTCAACGATAAAATTCAGAGATAAGATATGAAATGGTCACATGAGATGTTTTTATTCTGACTAGCAGAATCCATTAAATCTAAATGATATACTAAATGTGATATTGAGTATTTTTTTAATGTTTTTATTATTTTTAGCACAAACTCAAATATGTTCTATCTAGACACTTTTGATTTATTATAATCCTTCACCTAAAAATGGTCATACAATTATTTATTACAAAGCAACAATAAAAAAATGGTACCATTTTACAATAAGGCTCCCCTTATAGATGGCTGTTACTGATGCATTTTATAAAGCATTAATAATTGCTTATTATGTATTACTTAGGGGTGACAGAGACAAAACTGATCAGTTTCTTGTCAAATAGTGAACCAAATCTGTTCATCTATAAGGATTCAAGGTTCAAGGATTCAAGTTTCTTATTTGTCATTCGCACCACATGTGGTACATGAGGTGGAAGGAAATTGTGTACACAGGGTCCCAATTACATCCAAACAAAAGTATAAAATGTAAGAAAAGCACTAAGATCTTAAATATGAACTAAGAAAAATGTTGACTAAAAATATGTTAAGTACTAGTAGTATAAAAACAATACGTTAAACAGCAGCACGAACATGAGTCTGTGTGAGCAGATGAGTACGAATGAACACAGCAGCATGAAACAGATCAGCAGCAACATGATGTGATTTTTTTCACAGCGATTATTCTGGTTAGAGATTCATGAGTCTAACAGCCTCAGGGTAGAAGCTGTTCCTCAGTCTAGTGGTTCTACACAATGCTCCTCAACCTCCTGCTGTTTTAAATGTGCTTTATAAATAAATTTGACTTGACTTGATTCACCTGATCACCTTGGTCTGCTCTGCCTTCCTGGAGTCACCTGGCCCCTCCCCCCCCCCCCCCACACACACACATATTGTACTTTATCACTGCATTATAAGTATCTCCAACTAATGTGATATCCTAAAAAAACAAGTTTACAAATGCTTATTGTGCTTACAGGGTAGTAACTTAGTCTGAAATGTTTAATATAAAAACTGTAGATGAAATATATAGGTGAACAGATATGGCTCACTATTTGGCAAGAAACTGCTCATTTTTGTCTCTCAATTAATACATAATAAACAATTATTAATTATTTATAAAGTATTTATAAAGGAATTAATATTGTATCTATAACCTATTTATTACCCACCTATAAGGGGATCCTTTTTGTAAAGGGGTACCAATTTTTTTTAATAAAAACTCAAGTCTAGCAGTCCTTGAAGGAATGTTGCCCCCTTCTTCCTTGTAAGAGTTTCAAACTAAGACCATCATGAGAAATGACCGACTTGTCTCCATTTTGGTCAAACCTTGAAAATAATGTTATGCACTGCACCATATCAGTAAAACTGGCCGAGTTATATCCAATAATGGTAATGCCAGCTGGCTGTAGTGGTCATCTTGAAGGGACTCCAAAAGTTAATCAGTTATAGATGTCAACAAATCATTACTTTTGAAAGTTTCAAGAAAATTCAGTGTTTCATACAACAATTTGCTGAATGCACCTTTTACCTGTTGCTCTGCCTTTGCCAGTTGTTGATAAAAATATAGGAACGAAAAATTATATACATAAACAAAATATCCATACACTATAATGTGTTTCATATTTCAGGCATGTTGATGCAGACGTTGTAAATATTTTACAGATCAGCTGCTTGAGCAGAAAGTGCATGAAGTGTGCCAGTCAGCAGTTTGCCCTCGTGTTGATCACAAGTTTTGGATCAAAGATCACAAAATGTTCCCACTGCCTGTCAAAAAGACTCAAGATGCTGAAAACGCCACACGCGCTCCTGCTCGTCTGCCTGGTTGGGGCAACAGATGCTCTTTACAAACAGTGGATCCCTGACACCAACTATGAGAACAAAACCAACTGGGACAAGGGAGATGTTCCATGTGGCAGCGACAGAGTTCAGTTTTCAGCTCAGAGGAAAGTGTCCGTGTTTGTGGAAACGGCTCATGCTGTGCAGGAGATGCAGCTGCCCCTCGATGGAGAGTTGATACTGTATTCAGGGGCCGGCTTTTACGTCGTCAGTGGCCAAGACCCCGGCTGTGGAGCAGGCGTGAGCACCAAGTTCAAAGACTCGGACTCTCTTCAATGGTTTGATCCGGCGCTGTGGCTGGCAGCTGCAACTCTGAATGACCTGCAAAATGGGGATTTCCTGTTCTCAGTGCACGAGGAGAGCGTGCCCTGCCAGCATGATGACGTTGTTTTCAAACCTTTCTCCTCCTTCCGTGTGGACACCACCTCCAGCCAGTCCAGCATCCTTGTCACGTCGGTGTCCGTGCTGGGGGAGACGTTCAGCAGCAGGTCTGAGTTCTCCCAGTATCTCGGCTCCCACACAGGCCAGCTGCAGTTTCATGGGTCCTCAGTTGTCACAGTTGGAAACCCAAGCTGTGGGGATCCCACTGGCTGTGACTGTGGGAACTCTGTAAACCATCAGCAGATCTGCGGCTCAGTCACTTGTGCCACTGTGCACTGCAAAATGCCTCTCCGTCCCATGGGACACTGCTGTCAAGTGTGTGGTTCCATTATCTCCATCAGTTATGCTGGAGGCTTCAACCTGCAGAACTACAGGGACCGACTCAAACACCTTTTTCTTACCCTGCCCCAGTATGAGTCTGTTCAGCTGGGCATGTCTAAAGTGTTGAAGCCGCTGCGGATAATGGGGGTTATTCCTTTTGGTACATCACCAGAGATCCAGGTGGTCATTGTAGATGGGGAGATGGGGAAAATTGCAGAGACACTGGCCAAGGACATAATCAAGGATATTCAATCTCAAGGCTCTAAACTGGGAATCACAAAGGCTGAATTTCAAGCCTCCAGTGGGAACACCAGTACTCCTAAAAGCAGTGCAGGGATGGTGGTTGGAGTTGTGCTTGGAGTTTTGCTTGTGATTACACTCATTACTGTCTTGGTTGTGCTGATGCGTAAGGGTGTAGTGCAAATGCCACCCATTCCTTCAGCGCCATCTCTGAGCTTCTTCAGGAGAAACACGGACATTGGGGACTCCAACGAGGCTGCTGACCGTGGCTTTGATAACCCCATGTTTGACAAACCCGACATGCTGAGTGACATTCCTGGCCTTTACGAATCTGATCGCAACACAATCGCCTTGACTCGCACAGGCGTGCACTTTATAAACCCAGCTTATGATGAGAATGAGTCAGATTTTTCTGTTTAAAGCCGCCACTCACACAGATTACTGATTAAATGTTAACTTTTGTATTAGCATGATGATTTTACAGCTCATGGACGAAACCCGCTTAGATTTACAACAGCTGAACATTGTCCACAAGACCATAAATTGTAGTCAGACAATAAAATCTTTAATTACCAAATAAACTTGGAAGACAAATAAAAGAACTATGAATTATTGGTGTTCTCCTTTTCTTGTTTATTTTAGATTTAAAACTGAAGAGCAGTTAAACGGTAACAAAACTGTGCAAGGATTTGCACAGTTGCCACTAGATGGTAGTCAATTTGACCTTCTCTGACATGCATGAGAAAAATCAGGCATTTGTGCATCATTTAGTCCTTGTCATGTAACCTTTATGAATATTTATGGTACTATTTTTAGAAGCTGACGGTGAAAGCAGCAGGGATTTTCAAATGCATCCTTTTTCATAAAACCAGAGAAACTGCATTGTCTTTCTTTGACAGCCAGACTGCTACATAAAGGGGCTCTATAAAGTTAGTCATGTAAGTATGGAGCAGCTTCATGGGACCTGTTAGACTATAGAAAGACACAAAGCCTTGATCAAAGTCCACATATAAACCGATCCTGGTGATATTAGTGACTTCCAAAGCTGTTGCCTCACCTGCATGCCAAGCAGAACCCCCCCAGCCAACTCGTCCTATGCACCAAGAAGAATCATTCCCAGTGATGCAGCTGCTACTTTGCTCCCCTTTGCGATCGATACTCTTGTAGGTGACACCAACATGCGCACCCTCCCCACTCAGTTCTGCTTCAATATAATGTCTTCCTTTGTAAAGGCCCTCCGAGGTCATGGCCTGACGCCAATGTTTAAAGCGACTGGGGTGGTCAGGGTAGCTGTGCTGCCAGGGGCTGGTGTTGGTCAGTTTTCTGTGGTCTTCTGTTCTACGTAGAAAATGATGGGTGGTGTCTGGGTCAAAGGTCAAACTCTTTGTGTCTGAAACAGAAAATACAGTTTTGTGTTAATCAGCTCTGATGAACAGGGAAACAACATAATGTATAGAAAAGTGTTTACATTGCAGAAAGTCTTCTCTTGTCTCAGGCTCAGGCTGGGAGGAAGGTTGGGGTTCTGTTATTGAGGATTTTTCACCTATTCAATGAATTTACAGAGGAGAAATAAATTCATGGTTTAAGCTTGCATTGTTTATGTTGGATTACAAAATATTTTTTATTGTTCTAAACAGAAAAAAAGACAAAGTGAATATCCTTTAATGTTGGTAGCACAACACAAAATATGGCAAAAGTTGTAGATGTACATCCAATGATTCCTTTTTGAAAGTTTCATTAAAATCCTGTCAATTCAATTCAATTCAATTAAAAAATACTTTATTAATTCCAAAGGGAAAATAATTGTTGTTGTAGTTCATCCTGGATTCATTAGAGTTGTTATAGTTGCAGATGGCTGTGGGCAGGAAGGATCTCTTGTAGCAGTCCCTCCCACAGGGCATCCAAAGAAACTGGCTGCAGATGCCGATCCATCCACCTAACCCCAGCAGACCGCTCAGTCCTCTTGGGCAGTAAGACTGCCTGAATACCAGGCAGAACAAAGACTGCCTGAATACCAGGTAGAACTCCTTCCCCAGTGATGGCTATTGCGCCCTGCCTGCCTAGCTTCTTCTTGTCACGGACAAAACTGCAGCTGCCGGGGGATGATCTTGGTCCTCCCGCAGTCACGAGCCGCGTTTCCGGCCACCTCCAAGATCTCGGTGGTCAGGCACTCGAGCACCGACTCCAGATAGACGGGAATGCATCCACGGCACCTCCTTCTCAACTCATTTGAGATTTGGGGTTGCAGTTGAGGTATTATTTGAGCTTTTGAGATGTTAATCAGCTTCTCCCACTTGTAAAAACACATTTTTGTTATGGTTACGCATCATAACAAACGTCCAAAAGTAAAAAAAAGATTTAACTAAAAATCCTTCCAGCTGCACAGCATCCCATATCAGAAGAAATAATCATATGAAGAAAGCAATTTACATCCAGAAAAAAAAGAGTATTTAAAGTTTTCAAAAGCAAAATCTCAGAATGAATGTGAGAGCTACTCCAACATGCAACCACCTTGAGCAGCGCAATTCTAGAACCAGTGATTTTTGCTGGTGCTGTAGACCCCCACCCCCAACACACCACAAGCAAAAATATTTGATGCTAAGTTCAGATTCATGGTCATTATGATGGCTGTTGATTTATTTTATTCCAGACTAAATAGGTGCACTGCTAGACACTTGGATCAGCACTGCTATTATTATGCAAAGATCATGCAAGAATCTCTGAGAAAATGCCTGAAGCAGTTTTAATACCACAAAGCCAGTAGATGTTAGATAAATTATATAAAAACAGCTTACCATTTTTGCACACCATGCTCATTTTTTCACTGTAGGAATGTAAAACTAGGTCACACAGCTCCTGCGTAACGTCAGCCACCGCTCGGCCATATGAGTGCAGATAATCCGTCCGATTCATGTGCACAGCAGGCGTACACACGTCTACCGCTCCTTTCTCCCACTCTGAGTACTTCTGAAGCATGACAGAAAATACAAATGTAACGTATATCTGGTTTGTGATGTAAAACGATGCGGTAAAAATCAGTGAGCTTATTTTCTCTGAACCTGAACTCACTTTCTGTGAAGAATCAACACACCCTCATCCAGATGAACTCTTTCTTAAAGAACGTCTCACTAATCCCTTCCTACATAAAACATTTGACCCCGTTCTTCACTGGACTCTGTAACTTTACTCTGCTTTAATCCTGATGTAACAAAGCTGAGACAGCAAATAAAAAGAAAGCTTATATACATACACACACACACACACACACACACACATATTTATATATATATAAATAAATAAATATATCTAGCATTATATCTAACATTATGATACATATATATATATATATATATATATATATATATATATGAATATATATATATATATATATATAGATATAAGTTAGAATTTTGCTACATTGATTTTAGCTTGTGTTTTGCTACTTATCAAATTCTTCTTTTAATAACCTAAGTTTCACTTTTTTACGCAAAAGTCAGCAAAGTTACTCAACAGTTGGCAATACCATTACATTTTCTAAGAAAATGTAATTTCTCCAGTTATGAGTGTTTTTCCTCGTTCAAACCTTCAGAAAATCAGCGTCAGACTTGCTCTCGGACAGTTTGTGTATTTCAGCTACTGTTTTCACCAACTCTGCCCTCCTCTGCTCCAGATGTGCCTGGACACCTTCTGTCTGTCTGCAGACCAGACTCTGCTCTCCTTCCAGCATCAGCTCAGCCCTCTTCCTGGCCTCCTCTACACACGCCTGCAGCCTGCTGAACTGCTGCTCAATAACAGCACCAACCTCCTGCACTGAGGACTGACAGAATGACAGAGGATAACCTGGATACAATATGTTCACATCAGTTTATGTCAGAACTCCATATCAATACTTGTCTCTAAAGTTACCTTAACTAGGTCACTGTTGTGCTGCAGTTTTCCAATAGCTGTTTCTACAGCAGCCACATTCTGACTGATCTCTTTGTGTTTCTTCTGAAGCTCTGTCTGCAGATGATCACAGACAGCACATTCCACAGTTAGGAGCACAAGAAAACAATACGTAAGACAAGCCACAGAGAGAAGCAATACTGATCAACTTCTACACAATTTTTAGGACCTCAATCTGTGTTCGAGCCGCCTCCAAAGACTTGGCTTGGTGCCCTTCGTGCTCCTGTCTTTCACAGTCCAGACACAAGCAGCAGCTGTCCAGAAGGCAGAAGCTGGTGAGGGGAACATGATGAACCTCACACGTCAGCGTGTTGATCTCATGAAGGGGATCCACCAAACGATGGCTCTGGAATTTGACGTTCTCCAGATGAGGTCTGAGGTGGACGTCGCAGAAGGAAACCAGACAGGTCAGGCAGGATTTTAGTGCTTTGCTGGGGCTGTCCATGCAGGAGTCGCACAACACTTCTGGCTGTCTGTTCGTGCGGCCTTCCAGTTGTGACTTCATGTTGTCATGGTGCTGATTCTCCTTTGAATTCTCCTCAGTGGTGATGCTGAAAGTTGCCATTGTTAAAATGCTCCCCTGTCGCCTTAAATCTAAAGCTGATGAGCTTTTTGCTCTGTGGCTTAGAAAAAGCAGCTGTAGGATCAAAATGCCTTAGCGAGAATGAAGAAATAATTCAGAAACCACGCCTACATTTTTTGGGCCTATTCAGCTCATATGGTTTCATTTTTCATCCCTCCCTTTGAGCTGCTATTCTCTTTGCCTGGTATTTAGCCCCACCAATATTGGATCGTCATGCTGAAACCTGTTTGAATCAATATTTTTCTCTTTATTACAGTGCGTCAGAGTCTTGGCGCGTCCTACAGGACGACTTACCTACAGAGCAGCATTTCTCTTTTCATGTCCTGCAGCACAAAAACTATTTGGCTCTCTTCCCATCTGTCTGTGAGCAGCAAGTGTAGATTACTCCATAATGGGACAAAGTTGCTAAAACAAACGTTTTTTCACTTTGTGTTTTGTGTTTGTCCCTCACACACAAAAGTTCCCCCAGAAGCTTCAAAATGTTTTTTTTATTTTTCAAGCTGGGCAGAAACTGTTAAGCTGCACGAGTTCACATCAAGAATGTAAACGTAAAACTTTCCACTATGGATTTCTGAAAACATGCTCATGTCACTAAAAGAGGTACATACATTAACATTATTTAAGGCATTTCCTTGAGGAATCCCACTTTTCTATAGTTTAGCCAACTACCAATGAAACTCAACATTTCTGAGGATTTCAAGTCAGAATGAAAACCCATCTGTATTTGTTTTACTTTGATTTATTCTATTTAAATAGGCTTGTTAGAAAGGACTAAAGCAATGCATGATGGGAAAAAATGACCTTTTGTATTTCAAATAGTAAATTCAGGCTGCTCTTTGTTTAATTGTGCACACAGATTTAAAAAGTAGTATATATGAAACCTTGTAATCCTTTATATAATATGCATATACAATATTTATTGTTTGTCACCTTTAATGTCAGACATTTAAATTATGATTATTGTGTCTTGAGAAATGATGAAGTTAGAGCTGTTTTAAACAAACCCTAAAACATATTGTTTGGCGCTTTTTCACACAACATTGTGAAATTTCACACAAATTATTAGCACTCAGAGTACATGTTGGCAATGATGCTCAGCTACTACCACACCATATTCTAGCTCAAAACCTATCAAATTGCCTGAGTTATAGTTATTTTTGTATAAGATAATTACAGCTAATCACAGCAGCTTGAATTGGGTTGCCTTCAAAACCTAATCAGCTGTAGATGCACATTCAATAATTATTTTCTGAATGTTACATTAAAATCCATCCACTGGTGCATGAGATATTTTGCTAAAAGACAAACAAGATTGACTCCAACAATTAATGCTACAGTTACACGTAAAAACCTTGCACAGTTAGTAGACCTTGGAGAATATGTTGTGAATTATTCTCAGCTACAGCCACTCCACATTTTAAAGCAATATCTGTTAAATTGACTGAATTACACTATTGTCATATGACAGCCATCTTGAAAGAAATTATCTCAAAAAGCTAATCTGTTGTGGAGGTACAGCCCCTGAGCATTTCATTAAAATCTGTTGAGATTACATATTTTTCAAACAGACGGACAAAGTTGACTCTTTGAAAATATTAGTAAATTTATTTGCAGTGAAACCCATCTTTGTTGTTAAAAATCTCCAGATAATCAACAACACTATTGTCAATTGTTGATTATTTCAAAAAAGCTGAGGCACGCATTACTGGAAGACTTTACATGAGTGGTATAAACTGGATAGTCTACTAAACAAACTAATGTGATCTTAATGTTTCATTGTTTAAATATATTTGAGTATATTACAAAATACTGCCTTTCCATATACTTTCTAACGTTTTACATTACAGCATAAATTGGCATTTCCTTCCATTCTTTCCCCACATTTACATAAACATGGCTTCCTGCATGTAAACCAATGCAGAGATGAAAATCATAAGTTATAATTCCAGGTTGCTCAAAATGTTGATATTCAAATGTCTTTTTACATTCTTTCTGCATGTTATTAACACGTAGACATCACTTTTAAGCAAATGCACAGGCACGAGCAATGCTGGCACATAAAGTGGTCACCCCACTGGGGAAATATTGCAGTGTGAAAGGGGCACAAACCCCACAACCTCTGTCAGATACAACGCTTGACACAGTGCAGTGCTGCTCTCTATTAAATGTTTGAGTCTGTGAAACCAAAGTGCAGAACTCTCTGTCCAACAAGGATGCATTGCTTCTGAGACCCATCTGAGTCAACAGGACACTGAAAAGGTATATCATGAATTCACCTCACCCTTGTTTCCTTTTCTTGTTTGCTAAACTAATTCGTCATGACCCATTTGCAGAGTTACCTGCAGATGTACAGTAACTCCTCAAGTCCTTCTTGCACATCCATTAAATTAACACCGTGAGAACTCATGAGCTGTTTAAAGCCGAGCGAACACTCATACAGTACCAGCATGACCATCTGCAACTTCCGTTACCTGCAAAACAAACAAAAAAAGACTTGTCATATTCCATGTCATAAAACCTGTTGAGTACTGTTAATGGACAAATCAGACAAGTTTATCTGAAAGTGTAAAGTGGCTCGACTACAAGACTGTTGGAATTTTATGTCAGTTGGCAAAATGTACTTAAGTAAATGAACAAACACTCATTATAAACAAAAGTCCAGCATGTGAAATCTTGCTGATCGTAAAACAAGCTTACTTATCCAGATTTTTTTAAATTAACAATGTTGATTTTATCCTCTGAACTAAGATCCAGCATGAAAACTTAACCACAAGTTATGGTTGGAGAAAGAAGTTTTGAGCTGGTAGCAACTTAATTCAGATTTTAAAGGTGTTTTGGGAGGCGAGTGCAGCTCTGTGGTCAGTGCCGTGATCTCGTAATCCTAAAATGCTGCAGGTGTGAGGACAGTTGCATCAATAAGTGAATCCGGTTTAAAACAATTGGCAAAATCCTTGTGTGAGTTTGCTCGCTGTGGCTAACCCTTCAAAGGGGAGCAAGCAAAAGGAAAACGGCAACAAGATAGTCGTGTTTCCTTGACAATAACTTCCCAAAGCCTAACATGAACCTATAGAAGTTACCAACACATTACAAAGCACACAACGAGAAATCTTGGTTTGTGTTGACATCGCACACTGTTTTGTTCAAATGCCTCGGTGATGCAGGAAAACAAAGTAAAATAGTTTTCTCATAATGCACTCTGCCTGCAGCCATACATACTCATTTTTCAGAGCTCCACCTGTTCGTGGAAAAACTCCAACACTGGTTTTATGACAACTTGTCTTTTGTCAGTGTCACTGCGGCAGCTGACTTCCTGTAACGTCGTAAACTTAAAGTAGCATCCTGTAAATGTTGTTTTTAGAAACACCTGTCAAAACACCTGTCAGTAACTGTTTGATGATCCCAAACTAGAAAAATGCAGACTCATCTTGTAAACTAGTAACTGGAATATGAAAATACATGAAGGCAATACTCGTTCCTCCCAAGAGTTTCAATCTGATCCAGAACTGAAAGTACAGTGTAATCTATTTGATTGACAAGAATCTATTAGACTATATTTAAGTTCCAAGACAAAATACCACATATGTGACTTCTGATCCTTTAAAAAATCTATATACTCACAATTCTGTGTCCTCGATGCCATCAGGCTCCTCCATGGTCTCAAGTCGTCTATTACAGGCATCTAAGATCTTCTTTCGTGGTCCCAAGGGGATATGGATACTCTTGAGGTCATGATCAGAGCATAGCAACAAAGCTTCAAGGTCAATTTTCTCCCGTTTGAAAATGGAGTAAAACTCGCTCATGCTTTGTGTAGCAAGGAAAACCTCAAGGGGGCTTGTGTCAGACTCATCATCGTCATCCAACCCTAATTCTACTTCTTCCCAAGGCAGCTCCTCCACATTCCTCTCCTGCAGGCTGTGCGCGCTCCCAATGCTGTCTTCATCTAGACTTGGGTAATGGTGCAACCGACTGCGGAGACGCACATTGTTGCCTGAGTTGGCCATGCTGGCGGTGTTTCGAGCACTCAAGTCAAACATTCCCCCAGTTACGTAGTTTCTCCTAAAAACCATGGTACCAAGACCGGGTCGGTTGAACAGGGAATCGTGACCCGAGTCTGTGCTGATCTCAGAGTAGTCTATGTCTGGCCCATGAAGGTCCGGTTCACTCATGGCACGTGAAATGGCATCGTCGTTGTCTCTGGGGAACATGTCACGAACATTGCGACGGCCACGCTCCTTTGGGTTGACGTACGTCCCTTGTTTGACAAACATGACATCGTTGCCCATCTGCAGTCCGGACAGAGAGCGCACGCTCTTCCTTCCATCTTCGTAGATTTTAAAGGTGCCATCTCCTTGTTTTCGCTTCTCCAGCTTTTTCTGGATCTTTGTCTTTCCGCGGTTTGTGGCATGGAGAGTTGCCTAATAGGACAGACACAGTGCAACAATGAGACACAATCCTAAATCAACAAATAATAAAAAAAAGATTTATTTTCATCTGACATTCAGTCTAGTGAACACATCAGTCCACAATAACTTGAGTCAACAAGTGGAAAAAATAATAAAAAGTTAATGGAATCCTGACCTGAGAATATGGCACACTGACAGTGTTGAAATTGCGCAACTTGTGACTAACAGAGCTGCTGGTGTAGCTGGAAAAGCTCATCACATCTGACATAGACTCTTCCAAGGCTTCTTTATGAAACTTTCTCTCCATCCGTTTGTGGTGCTTCTTCTGCATCTTCATGCACTCTTTGTTCCGCCGCTCGGCATCATGAAACGCCTTGTCCTTCAGCTTACCGACCAGCTTGGGATTGAGACTTGTCTGCTTGGCAGCGATGGAATCAAGGTAGCGGACACAATCCATATGATTCTTTGTGGCAGCCATGTCCAGCGGAGTGTGGTAGTCATTGTCCAGGCACCAAATGTTGGCACCAAAAGACACCAGGAAGAAAAGGCAGTTGAGGTGACCATTAGCAGCTGCCAAGTGGAGTGGCGTGTTCCCCCATATGTCACACTTGTCTGGGTCTCCTCTGTAAATCATAGAAAATATATATGTTTTAAAAAACCTTTCGAAACCCATCCATCCATCCATCTATTATCTTTACCCGTTTATTCCATTTTGGGTCACTGGGGTCGCCGGTGCCCATGTCCAGCAATCACTGTGCGAGGGGCGGGGTACACCCTGGACGGGTCGCAAGTCCATCACAGGGCCACATAGAGACAAACGAGACAAACATCCATTCACTCTCTCACTCACACCTAGGGACAATTTAGAGTTACCAATCAGCCTAACATGCATGTTTTTGGTCTGTGGGAGGAAACCGGAGCACCTGGAGAAAACCCACGCATGCACGTAAGGAACATGCCATCTCCACCCAGAAAGGCCCCTGGACCGGGGTTTGAACCAAGTACCTGCTCGCTGAGAGGCAGCAGCTCTACTAGTTGCGCCACCGTGCTGCCCCCTTTTGAAACCTTTACTACAATTCTTTAGAACCTGGAAGTCAGTTTGGGGATAAACATGGGCTCTTCTCTGACTTATGTTTAGATGACGCATGCATGAATGAGCAAGTGATTTTCTGATAATCTAAAAAAGTTAAATCTGGTCCTCTGGACATTCAAAAAAAACAAAACAAAGCAAAACAACAAAAAAATGTAGAAATGTTTCGTCTCTCATCCGAGAGACTTCCTCAGTCTGAGGTGCTGCAGCTCAGTCTCTTAAATAGCACCTTCTCAGAGTGGATCAACCAGTTTTGCTGCTGACAACCAAAACCAGCTGATCACATGCTCAAGAAGGACCATCAGCCTAACAATGGATCATTAGCACACTGATGGCTGTTTACTATTCACAGAGGGCTGAGTGATACTAGCAATCACAGCATTGTAAGAGGGGGACAATTGAACACGTAGGCCTCCACCCCTGTTTAACGATGGATGATTTCTTTTCACAAAGATGGCCTCCTTTATTTCTCTCTCAAAACATCGTTCCTCTCTATCCAGGATGTGTATATCTTCATCCCTAAAAGAGTGACCGCTGGCCTGGAGATGAGTGTAGACCGCAGAGTCCTGGCCTGATGATGTTGATCTTTTGTGCTGGGCCATCCTTTTGGCCAGTGGCTGTTTTGTTTCCCCGATGTAAGACTGATTACAGCCCTCCTGACACTGAACAGCATACACAACATTAATGTTTGTGCCGGGGGACTGGAACTTTGGGATGAACCAGTCTTTGCTGTAATGTATTTGGGGGTTTAAAAGCCACTGGGACGTTATGTTTAGAAAATAAACGTCTCAGTTTCTCTGATACTCCCTCAACATATGGAATGACCACTGGTCTGGATCTGGGTTCCTCCTTTTCACCTGTTAAAATTACCAGAACACTGTCAAATCTGAAAAAACAAATATTTCTCCCAACTCATCAACTCAAATAGACACAACCCCCGTGCCCTATTCACATCAGTAAATTCCATTCTAAATGTCCCTTCGTATTCATGTATGGAGGCCTCTGTTGACACCTGCAATGACTTCACTAAATTCTTTGTTAACAAAGTGGAGTTGATCAGGGCCTCCATCCCCCGCTCCTTAGTCGACCCATCAGCTTTTGTTTCGTGTTCTGCTACTTTCAGGCAATTCAAACCAATCACACTCCCATTGTTAAACAAAGTTGCTGGTCACATGAAGCCATCAGGATCACCATTGGACCCCATCCCAGCAGCATTGTTCAAACAGGTTCTACCAGCGATTGGGCCTGCTGTTCTAACAATACTAAACAGTAGTATTGCTACAAGCGTGGTCCCAGAGGCGTTCAAACATGCAGTAGTCACACCGTTAATTAAGAAACCTGGTCTTGACCCTTCAGCCTGCTCAAATTACAGACCAATCTCAAAACTCCCCTTTCTGTCCAAAATCCTGGAAAAAGTAGTTTTTACTCAGTTAAATCAGTTTTTAACTGAGAACAAAATCTTTGAGGTCTTTCAGTCTGGTTTCAAGCAGCTCCACAGCACCGAAACAGCTTTGGTTAGGGTTTGTAATGACATTTTAACTGCAAATGATTCTGGTCATTTTGTGGCTCTTGTACTCCTCGATCTTACTGCCGCTTTCGATACTGTTGACCACAGTATCCTCATCTCTCGGCTTGAACACTGGGTTGGGATTACAGGTGCTGCATTAGACAGGTTCCGCTCATACCTCTCTGACAGGAGTTTTTGTGTGAAGGTGGGTAAAAATCTATCCACTTCAATGCCTCTTTCCTGCGGTGTCCCACAGGGCTCGATTCTCGGACCCCTTCTATTTTCACTCTATCTGCTTCCGCTGGGGTCGATCCTAAGAAAACATGGTATTCCATTCCATTGCTACGCCGATGACTGTCAGATCTACCTGCCACTGAAACCAGCCAGTGCTTGTTCCGTCCACCCTCTCCTCAAATGTCTGGACGACATTAAGACATGGATGGCTTCAAATTTTCTAAGTTTTAACAACCAGAAGACTGAAGTCATTGTCTTTAGCCCTAGCTCAGCTGCCGCCTCTTATCCTGTGAACCTGGACTCCCTTCAGCCTTATCTGAAGCACTCTGTTAAAAACCTTGGAGTGGTTTTTGACTCGGATTTTAAGTTCGACAAACAGATCAGTTCGGTTCTGCAGAGAAGCTTCTTCCAACTGCGGCAGGTAGCTAAGCTCAAGCCAGTGCTGTCTAGACCCGACCTTGAGACACTAGTCCATGCATTCATCACAACCCGCCTGGACTATTGTAATTCACTGTATGCTGGGGTCAGCCAGGCTTCTATCTCACGGCTACAGCTCGTCCAGAATGCTGCAGCTCGGCTCTTAACCGGTACACCAAGGTATGAGCACATCACACCAGTTCTGTCCTCCCTACACTGGCTTCCTGTGAGAACTAGGATTGATTTCAAAATTCTCCTCCTGACCTATAAGTGCCTAAATGGTCTCGCACCCATCTACCTCTCTGAGCTACTGGAACCATATGTTCCCTCTCGGGCTCTGAGATCATCCGATTAGCTGCTTTTGGTTGTTCCAAAAACACGACTGAAGCTCCGAGGAGATCGGGCGTTTTCAGTCATGAGTCCCAAACTGTGGAACAACCTACTCCCCAACATTAGGCATGCCACCTCCCTTCCTGTGTTCAAATCCCTGCTAAACCCAAAATGCTTCCCGGGCGCTTTCAATAGCTGCCCACTGCACCACCTGGTGGTGGATGGGTTAAATGCAGAGACTAATTTCGCCAATGTATGGAAACATACAGTGCTGACATTGTGATGACATTATTATTATTATTATTATAAAAACACATCTGTTCTCTCTGGCGTTTCATACTGTGTGAGTTGATTTAGTATATCTTGTTCCATGTCTTCATTTTAATGCTGTTGTTTTATTTTTTTAAGGTATATTCTTACTGCTTTTTATTTCTCAGTGTTACCCTTAGTGTTAAGCACTTTGATAACAGTCTATCTGTTTTAAATTGTGCTCTATAAATAAATATGACTTGACTTGACTTGACTTGTTGGCTGACTGGAGTCCTGAGCCCTCTGTGAATAGTAAACAGCCATCAGTGTGCTAATGATCTATTGTTAGGCTGATGGTCCTTCTTGAGCATGTGTTCAGCTGGTTTTGGTTGTCAGCAGCAAAACTGGTTGATCCACTCTGAGAAGGTGCTATTTAAGAGAATGAGCTGAATACAGCACCTCAGACTGAGGAAGTCTCTCGGATGAGAGACGAAACGTTTCTACATTTTGTTGTTGTTTTGCTTTGTTTTGTTTTTTTGAATGTCCAGAGGACCAGATTTAACTTTTTTAGATTTTTCTACCTGGATTATTGAGCATGCATCAGGATATTTTCTGATAATGTTTTCAGCACTGACCCATCATCTAGGAGTTATTATTGGGACCTTAATTCATAATTCAGAGTTTAAGTGCTACAATACACTTATAGAAAACAACTTTATAAATTATGAAAATAGTAAAACTTCAAAGTTATACCATTTTGAACCATCCATTGGTCATTATTAGCGCTACATGCTAAATCTTCCTCTTCCTGACAGACCATGACCTGAGGGTTACCTCTGTGTGTTGATCTGTCGCTTCAGGTTTGTAACACGACCCCAGGCATCTCTGCTTCACTACCTGTATTCTGTTTCAAAAGAGGCCACGCTCATTGTGCCTGACACGTAAAGCATGGTTTTCCAAGAGCGGTGATACCTACTGTACATCTTCAAGTCATACTCGCAAGGAGTATTCCAGCTGGTTAGGTGACATGCCAGATGGGCTTGCAACTTTTGTCACGTTTTTATTATTCCACTATAATTCTAATATTTAATCTTATTTTTGTGTTTAGTTAACAACATCTAGTTGTTAGCTCAATTTATACAACAGGAACTGGACATTAGTGACGTAACTTTCAGCTTCAAGACTCTCCAGGTTTTTAGATATTTTGTTGGTATTGAACCACAGTGCTAACTGAACTGTCTTATGGCTTGTCTGTCATCCACTGTAGCCACATGCAGACTCCTAAATATTTGATGGAATGGACGTGAAACTACTGGTAAAGTGCAGATATATTATTAATGAATGGGCTGCAGGCTTTTCTCTGGGAATGTGTCAGATCAGCCGGATCTTGGACAGCGATTAGCAAAGCCCTACTCTGATTTCAGAGCAATGCTCTTTATGTCGTCGGGTTTGTTTGCCCATTTGAATTGTGACGTTTTATGGTCTGAGATTTTTCTGCATCATTCACATTACTGTCACCATTTTCAGTTCTCAGATTATCTGGAGTCACTGAATCTTGTTAATACACCTGAATCTGCCCATCACTGCAACTTTCAGTTTTTGGGTTCTGAATGATCGCATCTTCATTAATGTTTCTCATGCTTCGATTATGGGGGCTAATTGTCACACTGTTAACGCCTGTAATTACACATCAGTCACAAAAAACTCAAGAAAATGTCTGATAACAATGTTGTTACTGCTCTCAGGGATTCAACCAAACCCTGGACCACCCACTATTTATATGACACCAAATGACT